GAACCAGCTGTAGAGTAGGCTAGTGTGGTAGAGTAGGCTGGGCGCTGGGCGCCAGACAGGAGAGAGCGACTTTGGATATTGTGTTGGTGTGGCCTACGGGCTTGGACATTGGCTCATTACTTCATTGTATTGCTCTATTTGGATGGTTTTCTCGGTGCATTTGTACTCTCTGCTTGGGACACGACTCCTGGTTCAGCTATGTGATTTCGCAACTTGGTTTTATGTATATCACTCACACTCATATTCCTTGCAATTTGGTATCGGAGCTGGTTGTCCGCTTACCTGGCACCGCGACATTGTGACTTGGTGCGCTGACAATGCTTCATGTGCAGTGAGGATACTTTGCGCTGGTTGATTAGTGGGGCCTAGGTAGAGAGGCCGACAGCTGGAAGGCTGTGGCGACAGCGTGGGAGTTGTGGCGACGGCGGGTGTATGCATGATGATGAAAGTATGCTGCCGTGGCATTTTGGCTGAGGTGGCACTGCATTGCGTTGTGGGTGGTACCGAGGCTTATGACCGGTCATCGAGATGCACGTCAGCCCAATTGGTGAGAAATTTGTGGTTGGGGGCAGCTATCTCCAGGTACGTTGTTCCCATTCCTTATCTACCCTCTCAATCTCTTCTTACCGTGAGGAAGTGATTCCAACTTGAGTGTCCTCTCTTTGGTGAGGAGTCGTGTGCGCTCTATCTTGAGAGACGACATTCTTCCCGGTGGCACATCTGGCAGGAGAGGGCGGTGCCTCCGAAGGGCCCTGGTCGAAGCACGGGTCACAGTCACCATGCCAACCCATGGGTATTAGTACACGCAGGCCATGCTGCTTTGTCCATTGGGGCTCTTTGCTGCGCTGATAGAAGGGGTGTGCGGACTGACTAGTCCCATTGAAACATTTCTAGTTGGGGTCTGAACTGTCCACTGGCTGTGATCGTCGTCCTGATTGCGACGTTAAAGAATTCCTGAGGACTCCAGGGGCTGTCCTTAAATTGCCTCTTGATCAGCCAGATCAGTCAGACGTAAGGCTCGTTGCACGCGAGGGTCAACAAAGGGGCAGGCTGGTCATAAGCATACTTCTTGGGCACAGGGGTGGGCCGTGGTTGCACACCTTAGACACCGCAGCTTGATGATGCTCACATGTACGTTGAATACAGGGGAAGGGGATTCCAATTGTGAACTCAACTGTACATCACTGGCATATCCATTGTGCATACATCTGCTCACATTAGTCTAAGTTTTTATTTTGATTAGTTGGTTGACCCACTGCAAACACCTAACAGACAGACTAGAGTAGGACTGTAATCTACCATAGTCAGTTCTTCTCGAATCTTCTGTGCAGACTAATCAGAATAGAGCTAGACAATGTGTACAGTTTGTGTAGATGCTGTTGATGCCGCTTGATTAGTAGACTAGGTAACTCGCTAGGCATTTATTTATTTATTTATTTTTAGATCCGATCAGACGCATGCTGCGGTAGGTTCCAGCGAGGACATTAGTGCAGACAACGTCTACCTAACCTATGAGTGGGTCAGAGGGTGGTGAAGGTGCAGATGACGATAGGAGGATAACAAGGCTATCATCCCTTAGAATTCCTAGAGTGTTCCAGGCCCTACAACCGGGAGAAGAGAGAAGATTAAGGGCTGAAGCTAGGGCCCGTAACCTTGAGGCTGCAAGAGAAGCAGCAGCAGCTAGAGCGGTAGCAATGGCTACGTCCGCAACAACTGGTCAAGGGCTAGGCATGCCGACCAGTTCACAGTCCATCTCCAGTACATCAGGAACTGGCACTAGTCAGATGGCGGGCTCGCAGTTCAGCTCGCCGCCTCCACGCACCGGGAGCAGATGGAGCTCCAACAAGTAGAGAGGATCCGCTTAAGGCTAGAGGAGGAACTTAGGCAAGCTACTAAGAGGGAGAAATAAATCAAAGAGAAAAGTGTCAAATTAGAGGGCAGGGAGGCAGACATGGTTGCGCTAGAGGCATTGGAGGACTCTGCCCTTAACACTAAGGAAAGATCTTGAAGGCAAGTGTCCTATCCATGCATGCGTACATAGACAGTAAAATGGACACCATGCAGGATACCCTAGACCAGATTCTGCAAGCGCTACACAAGCCAGGGATCCGGCCAGCAGCTTTACCATCGCTGCCACTCTCAGCGATAACAAACCTCTATGCCGCTCAGTCTGGACCACCACCAAGCGTTACAGCAACAACAGCTCTATCTTAGACTGTTGCTTCTTCATCTTCTGGTCCAGCGACTGTTGCTACACCACAGTCGCCAGCTGTCTTGCAAGCGGGACAACAATATCCTTGGCATCCCAAGACCCCACTGAACCCACCTTCAACCTTCTCAGGAGACAAGAAGAATGAGGCTCTCGACACATGGTTGAGAACGGTGCCAGTGTGGGTGAGGGCAAAAAGGACATTGGTAGAAGAGGAAGTGATTACTGCTGCATCCTACTTAAGAGGGTTCAGCAGCCCGCTGGCTAAACGGATTGGTAGCTTCAAAGGGCTTCGGCAGGAACATGCATGATTGGGCGCAAACCTACACCTTGGAGAGCTTTATGGACTTAGTGGAGGCTCGTTGGCACAACCCTCAGCAGGCACAGATTGCCACTGATGGGATTCTAAAGCTTGACTCTAGAAAGTATAAGTCAGTGCGAGAGTTGACCACAGCCATAGAGCGTCTGATCGTTGTCCCAGGAGTGGAGTACAATCCACAGGTCTTGTTGACCACTTTCTTGAGATGTCTTCCCACAGACATCAAGATCGCAAAGAGTATCACACGTCTGAGACATTCAGCAAGAAGGCCTTAGACTTAGAGGCTACACTGGGTGGTGCTCAAACCTCTTCTGCCGATGGAAGAAAGAAGAAGACTCCACAAGAGTGGAAGAAAAAGGGTAGTCGGTTGAGGATGGTTGATTCCGATGGGAACCAAACCGAGATCGATGATGTTTCCGAACTTGTGGAGGGTTCAAAGTTTGGCGGTGAGGAGATTGTTGAGGGTAGCAACCTCGCCGCCGCAGTAAAGACGAAGGCAAGTGGCCGCAAGAAGGGCGGTCAACAAAGGAGTCAGGGGCAGGCCGCTAACCCAAACAAAATCGCTGCTTGGGTTAGAGCAGGTCTGGATCAAGAAGTGTGGCGGGACCGTTGGTCTCGTGGTGCTTGTATTAACTGCGGCGAGTATGGCCATACACAGTTTAAGTGCAAGCACCCGAAGGTCTCGCAGAAGATCCTTCCTAAGGGTGGGTTTTCTTCTTCTCAGTCTGGGGCCTCTACGAGCTCCAGCTCGGGAAACACTTAGGGCCAGTAGAAGATGTAGCTGCTTCTACTCTCATTGAATCGGGTGATGTACCCTCCCCGGTTCAAGAGTTGGCCAAAGCTATAGACTCCTTGGTCACCCCGCAGACGCATCCGGACCCAACTATACTCTGTACGTTGGATGTGTCTGAAGCCTTAGAGGACCTTCAAGGTGAGTGGTCGGCAAGGGACCCTCGTGAGTCCTGGGTGGCACTGAGTAGAGGTCCTAGAGGGGAGCACTTCGTTGTGGAAGTTGATGTGGGCGGTCGCAAGTGCGGCGCCTTCATAGACATTGGCTCCGCGCGAAACTTCACAAGTCGCGACTTCGTTGACAGACTGTGCCTAAAGGACCGGGTGCAGCGCCTTAGTAGACCGGTAGCATCTACTTTGGCCAACAAAGAGCGCATGACGGTGGAGGACTACGTTAAAGATGTAGTCTGCACCTTCTCCTACCCAGGAGGAGAGATTAATCATAACATATCATTCCTGGTCAGCGACGAGTTGCCCTTTTTTTGTTATTGGGCATGTACTACCTCGAGGTTACCAAGCCCCATTTTGACTGGGACAAGAAGGTGTTGAACCACGAGTTGCCTAGTGGGAGAACCGTGAGATTGGCCAATTATAAAGCCAGTAGGTTAATAGACTCCTATGGGTGCTTATGCGCATCTCCCTTCTATAATTATTATAAACAGAACCAAGAGGAAGGAATGTACTTAGTCTATGTCTCTGCAAAAGGGGAGGCCGTTAAAACACCCCCAGAGATAGAGACCATCGTCACCAAGTACCCTGATCTGTTTGAGGAGCCTACAGGAGTCGTAGACAGGGAGGTTGTCCATGCCGTAGAGATCATCCCACGGAGTAAAACACCTAAAGGGAAGAATCTATAGGATGGCTCCGTCCGAGTTGGACGAGCTTCGGCGGCAACTAAAAGAGCTCACAGAGAAGGGTTGGATTCGGCCTAGCACCTCCCCCTTTGGCTCACCAGTATTGTTCGTTCCAAAGAAAGGAGGAACACTAAGGATGTGCATTGATTGTATAGGCCTCAATGCCATCACCGTTAAGAACGCAGAGCCTCTACCACGCATCGACGACCTATTGGATAGGGTGCAGGGGTGTAAGTACTATACAAAGATAGACTTAAAATCCGACTACCATCAGATTGCCATAAGACCAGAGGACCAACACAAAACCGCATTTCAGACCCGGTACGGTCTGTACGAGTTTGTGGTGATGCCCTTTGGCCTTTGCAATGCGCCGGGTACATTCCAGCACGCCATGAATAGGATCTTCCATGACTACTTGGATAAGTTTGTTGTTGTGTACCTCGACGACATACTTATTTTTAGTAGATCTGTCGAGGAGCATGCTCAACATGTAGACACAGTACTTTCACTCCTTCAGCAGCACAAGTATAAGATAAATATAAAGAAATACGAGTTTGGTCGCACTCGAATCTTGTACTTGGGTCATGAAGTATCCGCGAATAGGATTAGGCCCGAAGATGCAAAGGTGGCTAGCATACGTGACTGGCCACAACCCCAGTCTGTGACTGAGGTCAGATCATTCTTGGGAATGTGTTATTAACGCAATTTCGTAAAGAATTATAGTACGATCACATCGCCCTTGACTGATCTAACTCGACTTGACACACCATGGGACTGGACCGACGAGTGTGAGGCAGCTTTCAAACGTTTGAAGCATGCCCTCACGCACCATGAGCTTCTTATGGTACCAGACCCGCAAAGGCCATTTGATGTAACCACTGACGCAAGCCAATATGGGATTGGCGCAGTGCTAGCTCAACAGGAAGGGAAAAAGTTGAGACCGGTTTAGTACATGAGCAAAAAGATGCCATCAAAGAAGTTGGCAAAGACCACCTACGAGAGGGAACTCTACGCTCTTTACAAAGCACTTGTCCACTGGAGGCACTATCTGTTAGGGAGGTTCTTTAACTTGAGAACTAACCATCAGACCCTCAAGTGGATCAAGACTCAACCAGTTCTTTCCGATGCACTCAAACGCTGGATTGAAGTCATAGATCAATATGACTTCAAACTAGACTATGTGAAGGGAGAGTACAACAAGGTTGCGGATGCGTTGTCTAGGAGGGCAGACTACCTAGGTGCGCTGATTTCTGAGCTTGGTTTGTCTGAAGATGTGACTCAATCGCTGGGGGACGCCTACAAGGAAAACCCCATCACGGTGGACATCATTAACAAACTTCAGGCAAAAGATAAGGCCACCACTAACGAGTTTGTGATGGTGGATGAGTTACTCTTTCTTGAGAAGGCAGGGTTCAAAAGGTTAGTTGTTCCATCTAAGGAAGTTTTGCGTAGTTTATTTTTAGGAGAGTGTCACGATGCAACGAGACATTTTGGCTACAAGAAGACTAGTGTTAATTTAGTGCAGCGATTCTGGTGGCCTAACATGCTTGACGATGTGAAGAAGTACGTGGAGACGTGTCAGGTCTGTCAGCGGGACAGGCCGCGAACTCAAGCTCCGCTTGGGTTACTCAAACCTCTACCCATTCCTGTTGGCCTAGGGCAGAGTATCTCCATGGACTTCATGGATACTCTTGTGACCAGCAAAAATGGCAAGAGGCACATCTTCGTCATAGTGGATAGGTTTGCTAAGTACGCTAGACTAATCGCCATGCCAGAGACAGCAAGGACTGAGCACGTCATCAAGTTGTTCATGGACAACTGGGTGCGTGACTTTGGACTTCCAAAGACGATCGTTAGTGATCGAGATGTGAGATTCACAAGCGAGATGTGGAAGAAGGCCGCTGAACAGATGGGCAGCCAGCTTCAGATGACTTCTGGGAATCATCCTGAAGCAAATGGGCAGGCTGAACAAATGAATCGAGTGGTGCAGCATCTGCTGAGGCATTACATCAAGCCCAGCCAAGATGACTGGGATGAGAAATTACCTCTCATCGCCAGCCTGTACAATAACGCTGTACACAGCACCACCGACGTCAGTCCTAATCAACTGCATCTGGGGTGGAAGCCTAGATCTGCTCTAGACTTCCTCCTGCCTGGGAACCGAACTGCTGCAACTCCTGGAACCATTGAATTTGGTGTCCAGTATGAGAAACTGTTGCAGCATACTGTCGCACACATCAAGAAATCTCAAGAAGTCATGATTGCTTCTGAGAACAAGCGTCGCCGACAGTCCACATTTCAGGTAGGGGAACGTGTCTGAGTCAAGGCTAGTGAGTTGGGACAGGAGTTTTGGCATCTCTAGGAAACTAATGCCTAAGCATTTCGGTCCCTGGGAAGTCCTAGACATTGTGGGGAATGATTTGGATGGTCCCTAGTACATCATTCGCATCCCTGGTCACCTACGCACTTACCTTGTTTTTCACGCCTCAAAGCTAGCACCTTTCGCTGAGACAGCACAGTTCCCATCACAGAGATCTATACTACCCCCAGCCATGGACGGCCATGTGGACGTCGACGACATTTTGGATCACAGAGATACGTCTGTTCCCAAGCTAACTGGCAGAGGAAGACCTCCAAAACCTGCAAGGGAGTACAAAGTTCATTTTAGGCATCATACGGATCTGAAGGAAGATCGATGGATTTCAAGGGAGGAACTTGTTAAGACAGCTCCTCAGATCGTGGCAGATTATGAGAAGAGACTAAAGGGGAAGGCTCCAGCATGAAGCATCTCAGCGGACTTTCGAAGCTAAGGGGGATGGAATGTCAGGAATGAGCCCTCAAGGGGTCCTATCAAACATTGCATGTTCTGGGCTAAGGTCCCACAAGCCAAGTGCCCGCCCTAAGTGAAGGCGGGCCTGAATATTCGTCACAGGCCAAAATTCGACATTTCCATATGTGGGTATTCAGGCTCTCGCAGCGCGTCAGTTGGTTGAGTGAACACGCGAGCCTCACTAAGCTGCGTCGTACAGTTGGCCCAGGCCACGAAAGTTGCGCCTGGGCATATACACACAAAGCAGGGCCGGTACATTGAGAAGCAGGTCGTCGGCCTTGGGAAA